ACGCACCCCTAGATACACCACTATCTTTAAAACTTGGTTTTCATGCAATCGCTACACTGTCACTACAGTGTTTTCAGTGCAATTTTTATACTTCGCAACAGTCCCTGTCGTAATCACGAAGACTAACCAATTTTACCAAACAAAGAGCATCAATTGAATTGAATGCAATTTAAAATGTGTTGTAATTATATCAGTGGTTAATACAATGGTTTACAGTGTTACAATTATAATTCACATTGATTTTCATTTTTTTATATGAATTTCTTTTTACAATTATTTCTTGAACAGGTGTGATAACTCCATGTGCTTTTGATCAGCTACACACAGCATCAATTCTCGGAGGCTATTCAGCGGCTATTAAGTCCAATGCACCCATCTGTTCAAGATACCTGTCGGTTGGATCAAGTCCATTTGTTGGTGTTTTTGATGCTGTTGAGGTTAGACTAATATTTTGTAATATGCATCTTTTCTCATTTCATGTTTATTAGAACCATTGGTTTGTTCTTTAACTGATTGGTTATCTACAGTATTGGTAAATATCTTTATACCAATCAGAGTACCCATCTCCAGTTCATAGCATTTGGCACATGAGTGCAGGTGTTTAATAATATATCTTATATTTTTAGGGTAGTACACAGCCTCTAATGTCAGATGTTGCATTTGCAGTAGCCAGCAAGTTGAAATCAGCCCTTATTTCTGCTGCTAGGTAAATTTACTACCGTGTAACTAATATGTAGTTAGTAAGATGTCATATATTAGATAGTATCTGTTGTGTAAAAGATATATCATCATCTGTCTTACTAATGTGATCCTCCTCTTCTACATCGTAGAGTAGGAGTTACCTATTCAGCATTAAGCAGCATTCTTAGGTGTTTCATTGAGTTTTTTCTACTGTTTTTATATATGTGAAGTGCAAGGATGCATTACTATAATAGCATTTTGCACCCTATAAGTGGAAATAGATGTTAATAAAAATATAATTTAGTATTTGGTGGTCTATATAACTGTGGCAGTTAATACTTCTTATAATGAATCCAACAATTTTCTAGCAAACCATAATCTTAACTGAATTGGAAATTTTATTATGTATTGATTAAACTAACCTATATTAATGTTTGTACACCATTGTAGTGGTTGGTGGTTTGGCAGTAAGCAACAAGCGGAAGATCCATCAGCTGCAAAGAAAAAACCCAAGGTTGAACCAGCAACATCTTTACCAATAAGGTAGCGATAACAAGCTTAATGCAAATAAAATATGTAAAATAGGTGTGCTAGACTGTACATTATAAAGAGTGTTTGAAAATACCATTGGTGTGGTTGGGAGTAGGGTTTTAAATTCGATGGTGGAGAGAAAAATTAAAAGAAAGAAGTGTAAAAAATTACGTAAAAAAGCCTCTGGGAAAATGATTACTGAAGGAAATTGGATCTCTTGACCTGAAATAACAACTGGTGGGCTATAGGTGTTATATTTGCCTCCTTGTGTAGTATATGATAGTCCTTCTTGTCTCTGGCTGATGGTTAACATTATAATGCAATATTTTATTTTCTCACATTGATTTTTCTCTGTTTTTAACATATTTGTTTCAGATTCAGTATTCCCGACTTGCGTCGTCATGGCGATAGCATACATATAGCACCCACCCATAGATTAGCCGTAACCACAGACAGTTTTGGGCGTGTCATGTTGATTGACATTTGCAGGGGAATTGTTGTTAGGATTTGGAAAGGTAAGCAGTTTGTGAAACAAACAAATCAAGTTCAAATTATAAAATCAAGATGGCTTCTATTGACTTATTACTGTGTATGAAAATCCCCTATTTTTATTTGTACTTCATGAGAAAAATGGAGGAATAAAATGTTATTATTTATTGATTGATCCTAATGAAAATTATTTTCATTATGTTCTTAAATATCTTTTTAAACTATTTGCCTAAAGTGTTTATAAATTATTATTTGTATCATTGACATTATTAGCAACTTGTCCTTTGATAAATACACAAAGTTGATATTATAATTTAAATGATGATACTGATAATTGTGAAAATGTAATTGTAAAAGTTAAAATACCTTGAAATATAAAACAAGGAATGTTATTTTTTATTTCTAAATCACAGTCACTCTTAGTAAGTACAAGTGACTAAAATTGCGGCCTTGTGTTTAGACTTACTTTGTCAATTTGAAATAGTATCTTAATTACTTTTTTTTTGGGCGCCACTATTGTAAAGCTCTGCTTGTTTGTGGTTGCCCTTTCCATTTCCTTTTTTATATCTGTACTGTTTATCTATGCTTTGAAAAGATTTGGAATAAATTTATTTTGAATTGAAGATCCCAATTGGAGCAATATTTATTTTTAATCTGTATCAAAGATCTTATAAACACAAGATAGTGTTCTCCACGATTTACGAGTGCAAATTCTGTAATAAGGCATGAATGGCGCCCTCTTGCTAAATTGGAAACTTTTGACCCTTGACCATACAGTACACCGCGCGACTTTACCTTAGGGTATCAATCCTGTGAACAGCAGAACAGGAACCATCTCAGATCCATGGCAACAGATAGGACGCCCTCTTCCAAAACTGATTACTTTTTCTCTTCGGTAATAGCGCATGAATGGCGCCCTCTTGCTAAATGGGAAAATTTTGAACCTTGACCGACGCTTCTATTTGTTACGCGTAAATCGCGGAGAACACTATCTTGTGTTTATAAGATCTTTGATCTGTATTCAACATTTTTGAATTCAACCATTATTTTGTTGGGTTAATTT